AGATCCAGTGCTGTGCGAGCTGCCTTGAGTGGCCTCCTCCAAAGTCACCTAAGACCCGCATTCCCCTAAAAGCACCTGAGCAAACGAGAGATGCTCCCTGCTGACAGCACAGGCTTCCTGGTGGAGTTTCTGCGCTCTATTCCTGTCTACCGTCCATCCATTTCCCCAAAAGGGACTGACCTCTTCTCCCCTTGGGACAGCTCTGCCCTCAGTTTCCCCTTAGATCCCACACCAAAGGTTGGTTACCTGGCCCACTCTTTGAATTGACTTGAAATGCTCTATGGCTTCTGCTTATGAGTACTTCACTCTGAAGTAAACCCTATATTAGTCCGCCCCAGCTGCTGTAACAAAGCACCACAGACTGGGGATGCTTAGAACTGAAATCTCTTATCTCACAGCTCTGGAGGCTGGAAGTTTAAAGTCAAGGTGTTGGCAGTGTTGGTTCCTTCTGAGGGTGATAAGGGCAGGATCTATTCCAGGCATTGGCTTGTAGACGGCCATCTTCTCCCTGTGTCTCCTTATAACATCTTCCCTGTGTGTGTCTGTCTCTGTGTCCCAGTCTCCCCTTTTTATAAGGACACCAGTCATATTGGATTAGGGGCCATCCTAATGACAACATTTCAACCTGATGATCTCTGTCAAGACCCTGTCTCCCTATGAGGTCATATTCAGAGTGGGTTAGGATTTCAGCATGTGAATTTTGAGGGAACACAATTCACCCCATAACAAACACCATTACCTTTCCATTTTAGTCCTTCACAGCAATATTTCCAACAGTTTTTCTCCTGGAAAATGGCCCAGAAGACTCCTAATTCGGATTCCATACAGGAATTTGTATGGCTATACTCAATTTCCTGGACCCTTCCCCAGGAAGTGCGTTTCTTTGTGGGAAGTATGTTCAACCTGAAAATATAGCAGCTCTTGGCTCTAGAGAATAGAATAAGTAGCCACTGAGATCTGGAGGCTCTAGAATGTATAGTCACATTTTGGGGGGGCCAGAAGCCTGGGCCTGATCATTCAGGGAGCTGCAGGAGACAGGAGGGAGGGCCCCATGATCCCACACAGCGCTGTTTTCTTCACAGAGCTCAGACTTGGAGCCAACCTCTCTGATTCTCTGGTTCTCTTTAACCATTTGGTTTCAAACCTGTGTTACCGTCATTTTCTATCAGTGAGCATTTCTGCTAATATTTTCTTTACTCTAGATTGGTGGTGTAGCAGGGGATGGAGGTGAGGTAAGATCTTGTTTGCCTGTTGTCATATTCTGGCAACAAAGCCAGGTACTGAGTATTTCCTTAGTAACTGAAACAGTCCCACAGTATTTCATCTAAAATACGTATTTGTGTGACTTCTAGGATGCAGTGTTCCAGAGAAGGCATTAGCAGGTAGTTCTCGTGGTTCATCCTCTGGTAACCTTGTTCTTAGGTTGCATTCAATCATGATAAAGCCCATTCACGCACTTTGTTTCATTTTAGCCTCACAACATTTTTTTTTTTTATTTTATATCGGAGTATAGTTGATTAACAATGTTATGTACGTTTCAGGTGTACAGCAAAGTGATTCAGTTATACATATACGTGTATCTATTCTTTTTCAAATTCTTTTCCCATTTAGGTTATTATAGAATAACGAGCAGAGTTCCCTGTACTATACAGTAGGTCCTTGTTGGTCATCTATTTTAATTATTGCAGTGTGTACATGTCAGTCCCATACTCCCAATCTGTCCCTCCCCTAGCCTGACAACCTTTGTGGACAAGATGTGTTGCAGGTGCATCTTTACAGAAAGGTGACCTGAGACTGGGAAAGGTTAAGGGATAGCTCAAGGTCACACTATGATTAAGATCCTGACCCCTTGCCATGGCTCTGAGACGCACACGTCTAGTGCCCAGCCAGAAGAGGAGACACTGAGAGCAGATACCAAAAAGGCATTTCCACTCAGGTCCTGATTAGGTGTCATGTGTGGGACAGACTGGAAAAGAAGGAAATGGTACCAAGAGTGTTAGTAAGGGAACAATTTGAGAACCTCACTCTAAGTATAACCCAACAATAGTCATGGGACTTTCTATTTGCTCCTGTCCTAATGATGGCAGAGTTCTCATCAAAGAACCTCATCCTAACCGGAGAGCAAGGTGGGACATCGCTTTGAGCTACATTTGACTCTCAGCATATTTTTTTAAATTGTGTCTTTGGGCAACATTTCTCTGGGTTGTTAAATCACCACATATAAAGCCTCTCACATCTGAAAGAAAATTTCAGGGACAAAACCAACATCCCTTCCTACAGGAACATGTCCTTCATTCATTCATTCATTCATAGACAGGTGCTGATCGGCTTTCACGCTGGGACTGGCAACGTCTCCCTCTGGCTGAAGCCGAGCTGCTCTCCAGAATAAAGGAAGAGGGACAGCAATGGCCACAGCCAGTGTGGAAGGTGCCAAGTGCTGACTGAAGCTCCGGGGCTCTTAAACTGTCCGGGGAAGGAGCCTGGATTCGAATTTGCTGTGGGTCTTTGGGCAGAATCACTTCATCTTTCAGGGCCTCTGGTTTTTTGGGGGGTTTTTGTTTTGTTTTGTTCTGTTTCATATGTACATCAATGGATAAGACCAGCTGTTCTCTGAGACTTCTTCCAGCTCTGTGATTAATTCTGAGTCTCCATTTGCCAAACGGAAAGCCAGTGGTCCTTCTATAGTGTTTGTGCCTCTCATAGACTGTTTCTTCCTATTCTATAGGAGGATTTCTGTGTGTGTGCTAGACAGTGCCTACCCTAAGACTATCGCTTGGGAATTGGAACCAAGAAAGCATCATTGCTTATTTGCTGAGTGGCCTTGGACAAGGCTCTTGGCTACTTTCTTTTTTTATATATAAATTTATGTAATTAATTAATTTATTTTTGGCTGCTTTGGGTCTTTGTTGCTGCGTGCGGGCTTTCTCTAGTTGCGGCTAGTAGGGGCTACTTTTCATTGCGGTGTGCTGGCTTCTCATTGCGGTGGCTTCTCTTGTTGTGGAGCACGGGCTCTAAGTGCGTGGGCTTCAGTAGTTGTGGCTCACGGGCTGTAGAGCACAGGCTCAGTAGTTGTGGCACACGGGCTTAGTTGCTCCGCGGCACGTGGGATCTTCCCGGACCAGGGCTCAAACCCGTGTCCCCTGCATTGGCAGGTGGATTCTTAACCACTGCGCCACCAGAGAAGCCCTCTTGGCTACTTTCAATTCAGCTTCTTCATCTGTAAGTAGGAATATAATATCTGCCCTGCCTATCTCTCATGGGTAGTTGTGAGTAACAGTGTTAACTGTGTGAACAGTTCTTGGTAAAATATAAAAGGGTGTCCTAATGAAGGGATGATTCTGAATCTAATTCACTTGATGGTGGGCTCCTTGTCTTGTTCATCAGTGCCCAGCACAGTGCCTGACCTTTGGAAGGTTCTCAGGAAACACTTGCTCGTTGAGTGCATCAATGAAAGCATGACCACAGGGCAGAAGCTGAGGACGAGGGATTACACCTACCAGTTCATTCCCTAAGCACTAACCTCCTTCCTCCTGCCACAGACAGTGTCCAGGAGTTTACATGTTGTAAAGAGAACTTTGAATTATTCTGTGGTTTAGGGCGGAGGAGCTACCTGGAGGGGAGGCAGGGAGGAACATGCCTGCTTGGAGGTAGTAGGTTCGCTTGTTATTGAGAAGCAAGGGGGATTAATGAAAAGGAGAATTATACCAGCTTCTGTTGGTGCCTGCGACAGAGCTTACCATGACACCTGGCCTATTTCTGATACATTCTTACTTCCAGGACACAGTCTTTGAGGAGTGTTTACAGGTCACTACTACCTGTTGGCCTTGAACTCAGGTTATTGTTTCCCCAGCCCCACAGGACTGAAGGGATGAAGCCTAATTCTCTGCTCAGCTTCTCCACCCCCTGGTCCTTACCGCAAATGCCCACACAGTTTCCTTTCTTCCTTTTCTCCTGAATCTCAGCCCTGGACCTTGGCAGCCCTGAGCCCCAGCCCCAGTGAAGCTGCTGAAAACCCTACTCAGCTTCTCAGCGGCTCTGCCCAAACCAATTACTAGTCAACAAATGCCTTGAGAGGAGAAAGAGGCCCAGAAGGTCTGGCTTTCTCCAATGAGTCTCCCTTCTCCCTGGGAGTCTGGCCCTTGATCGCTCTCCAAAGCTTTCAGAAGGATGTCTTGGCATTCTGTCTAATGATTCTGGTTGCTCTCAGCGGGAGGTTGAGTCTGTACAAATTAATCCATCATAGGCAGACGTGGAAATCCACTGGCATTTTTTCAATGCTCCTCAGGTAACAACAGCCAGGATTGAGAGTCCCTGACCCAGGCTGATATTCTCACTGAACAAAGAGGAGCCTGCAGTCCAAAGAGGGCCAGATGACTTACCCAGCCACCCGATTTGTTACTAGGGGAGCTGGGACTCAAACTCAGGTCCTCTGAAGTGCAGGCTAGTGTGCCTTCACGGCACTAGGCCAGTCTCCCGAGAGCCTCCCCTTCTGTTTCTGTCTCCCTCTCCCTTTGTAGGCTGGCACGTTGCTTTAGATTATGAGATGGACTGCACCCACCCGCTCCCCGCCCATGCACTCCCTCACCCATGGGTGCTTCTGCTCAGCCCCCCGCCCTCTCCCCACTCCCAGTGCAGACCAGGAGCAGACCACCTACTTGTCCCAGACATGCAGTCAGCTGTGGCTCTGCGCTAATGGGCCGGGATGGCCTAATTACAGCCCAGGGCTTCCTGAGTAATTCCGGGCCTTCTTGGGACTCCACAGTGCCCCGTTCCTCTCCCCCATCACGTTTCCTCCTTTGTCTCAAATGTGCCCCCGCTGCTCAGAGAAGCATTTAGCTCCCTGCCCCCCACTTTGCCCTTTAGCCCTTCCAACACCCAGCTCTTGTTACAGGCTGGGTGAAGGGCCTCCTGTTGTGGAGAGCCCCTGGTCAGCCTCTGCCTGCATCCCTTCCCCCCATGCTAACCGCTAAGCTTTGCTTGTTGATTTCCTCCCGGGCCAGACCCAGGTCCTGCCAGCTCTCCCCTCTCTGACTGCATGACTCATGGCTGGCTCTGGAGGGACAGGCGGAGGCTCGGCTCACCAGAGGAAGACAGTCCTTCAGGTGACCCCTTCCCAGCTCTGTGGGGACCCTCCACTCCTCCGAGTGGCACGAGGGCAGGAGGTCCTGGCAGTGCGAGGGGGTCTAGGGACCAGACCAGGAGCCTCTCAGGCCTGGGTTTGCATCCTGTCTCCACCCTTCCTGCTTGGTGATGGTGGGCAAGTCGCCACTCTCTGCACCGCGACTTCTCATCTGTAAAATGGGGCGATGATCTCAATGTACGGTGCTGGGGACGTACGAGAGACTAGGCAGGCAAACGTTCACTGCTCAGAGAGACGGGATCTTCTATGTGGGAGCCGGGAGCCCTCCCAGTGGCCGTGACCCAAGAGAAGGCAGGTCACAGAGAAGTTAGGGTGAGCTGGGGCCATCGTGGGCACACCGACACGGAGCCAGGGCAGTGAGAGAGGCCAATGCCTGCAACACAGGTCCTGCCCCACGTGGAGCCACCCCACCGGATGTCGTCCAGGCCACTGACCAGGAGACCTGCGTGGGCTCTCAGAGACGGGGTCAGCAGCGGCAGTGGAGAGGGAGGTGACTCCTTTCCTGCCGGGCCTCCTTCCACTTGCACTAGGGGCTGCAGCTCCTGGGGGAGTGAGGAGAACGTTGCGACCCAGGCTTCTGCTCAAACCGACACCCTGGGCCCGTGGGCACCCAGCCTTCCCCAGCCAGCAAAGGTACCCAAGAGCTTTCCCAGAAAGAGGAGCCCGAGGGGGCTGGAGGAGAGAAGCAAAAGAGAGGCCTTTACTCTCTGCCTTTTCTCCCCGCTGTTGGCGTAGACACCGTGAGAAATCCTTGCAGCCGCCGTGCCCTTAGGAGCCGGGAGCAGAGGACGAGCGACGAAGATGGTGGCTCAGGAAGGATGGGGGTCCCACGGGAGGAGGGAGGGGCTCCCGCTGGATCCATGGGCATCCTTGTCCAGATGAGATTTCTCAGGCTTTTCCTGAGTCCAGGCTGGGCCTGGGGGCCATCCATCCAGGGGACAAGATTGGAAGCCACAGCAGTGGTTATAGAGAAAGAGAGAAGAACCAGGGAGCTGGGGCAAGCCCTGGGAGCCACGTTCTTAGAGCAGGAGGGACAGAGGCAGGAGGAGGGGTCATTGTGGAGCCACAGGGCCCTGGGGGACGGTCAAGTGCAACCTCAATGTTATAGATGGTCTGAGCGCAGATGGGCAGCGACTTGCCCAGCGTCACTCCACGCCCTCTGATTCCCTTCCACTTGCACAGCCTACGGGGGCCTCTCCACCTCCAAATGGCTCTGCTTTTCCAGGCCCGGCTGGCCCAGGCGCCAAGGGCAGAGCTGGGGTGAGGATAGGCGCAGTGGCTTTGCCGGTTCCCAGCCATGCCTGCCGGGCTGGGGCAGGTGGTCCCTGCCCGGTGTCGCCCTGTGCCCTCGTTGGGCCGTGTTGTTCTGGCTGCTGTGCTGCAGACACAAGGGCGGGTCAAGCTGCTCCCAGACCCCAGCCAGCCCATGACGGCAGGCATCTCAGCCGGTGCCGCCGGCAGGCCACATGAGCCGAGCCCACGCAGGCCACAGCCCCTCTGTGTGTGGGAGGCAGTCATGGGCAGGAGGTGGCAGGGAACGGCTGGAAGGTTTTTATTGGCCCTGGTGGGGCTGAGTGTGTCTGGGCCCCAGTTTAGATCGTCACCGGAGGATGGGGTTCACTGACTCTCTGCTCCACTTAGAAACACTCCGGGAGGGAGGTGAGAGGGGGCACCGAGGGGGTGGGAGTGTCGGGGGAGGCTGGGGGCAGGCAGCAGGTAGCCCCGGCCAGGGTGGACAGCAGTGGTGTCTGCATTAGCGGGGACGGGGCCCCGAGGCCGCAGAACTGGGTCACGGCCACTGGGAGGGCTCCTGGCTCCCACATAGAAGATCCCGTCTCTCTGAGAGGCCCACCCGGCTCCTGGTTTCTCCTCAGGGCCCCCTGGGGCTATCACGTCACCTCTCTGACATGGAGGATTTGGACCAGCTCCCACGGAGCTCAAAAACTCCAGGATTCTGTTACAAAGGGGATGGTGTAACAGCAGAGCTCTGGGGGAGAGCCGAGTATGGGTGTGAGAATTCACCTCCCAGGCCAGGCCTGGGGGGCAGCCTGTGACCCGCTGCCGAGACCACCGAAGAAAGCCAGGCTTTTGCGGTGCCTTGACCCCGCGGGGGCTAAAGCTGTTCTCCACAATTCCTGTTCTCATTAGGCCAGAGGGTTCTTTTCTTCTGACCCCGGGGCATCTGACGTGCCTTGGCCAGAGTGACGGCCACACTCTGCTCTGTGTCTTCAGGGTTGGTACAGCTCTGAGAGGTGGTGACTCTGACCTACATGGCAGGCAGGAAGGGCATTAAGGTCATCTGACCCCTGGCTTGAGCGCTAGACTGGGCTCTTTAAGGAAGAGAAGAGTGTCTTCATCCTGGCGTCTCTCCCAGGCCCTAGGCCAAAGCTGAGCAAAAGCGGGGGGTCCACAGCTGTTTGGTGAATCACGCTCTTCAAGTGTATACTGAGCTTTCCCTGCCGTGTGCCTAGGCTCCGAACCCAGGGCAGGGGATGGGAGCCGTGGCCCGCCCATCTTCCTGGGGCCCTACAGTCTAGTGGAGTCCACCAGAGAGGTACCAAGGATTTGCTTTCACTATATTATGACTTCTCTCTCTATGTATCAACTAAAAGATTCAGAAAGTAGTAGCTCCAAGAGCTCAGAGAAGATGCTGGAGTAGTCAGGGTGGACTTCCTGGAGGAGCTGCCCTTTCTCTGGGTTGTAGCTGTTCTCACTCACTCACTCACACTGGGAGGGATCCACTTCTCAGGCTTCACTTTCTTGGCTTTCTCCTCCCTGTCACCTGACTCCATTCCTGGTCCCAGGTGCCTGAAGGTCAGGGGCAAATCCTGGGGTTGGGATGGGGTTGGGGCAGGAGGTCAGGACAGCAGTCAAAGTCCATAATGAGTGTAGGCATCCAGGCCGCTCTCCAGAGTAGGACAGATGATCCTGGATGGTTGTGGCCTTTGCCCAGAGCTGTCCAGCTCTCTCAGCCCCCAGCCTGAGTGCACGTGTGGAACTACGGCCAAGCCCTGAAGTCAAAACAATGAGTGCCCTCCAGGTGCAGGCCTCATGCCAAATGCCAACGCATGTCAGCTCGGGATGGGCTCACAGCCTGCAGGTGAGATTCTGAGCCCCACTTCACCTGTGGCCAAGCCGATTTAGAGGGTCAAGTCAGTCGGCAGACCTGGGCTCTGTGGCTTCGAACCCTCGGCTGTCACAGTGCCCACTGCCAGGCGTCCACTTCACGGGACAGCCTCGGGACACCTGCCCTCCTGGACTGATCTCTCCCCTCTTCTCTCTGACCCTAGGTGCCCCAGGCCCTCCAGGACCGAGAGGACTCAAGGGAGATGTGGGCGTGAAAGGGCCTGTTGGCAGCAGAGGACCAAAAGGAGACCTCGGCAGCTTGGGCCCCCCAGGACCTCAGGGTCCTCAAGGGCAGCCAGGGGACACCGGGCCTGTAGGAGAAAGGGGGCCGGTTGGCCTGCGAGGTTTCCCAGGCCTCAAAGGCTTGAAGGGCAGCTTTGGAACTGGAGGCCCAAGAGGACAGCCAGGCCCCAAAGGGGACGTGGGGCCTCCAGGGCCAGAGGGGCCCCCAGGGTCTCCAGGGCCAGAGGGGCCTCAGGGAAAACCAGGGATCGCTGGGAAGATAGGGTCACCAGGCCAGCGGGGGCCCATGGGGCCAAAGGGCGAACCAGGAATCCAGGGTCCCCCTGGCCTCCCTGGGCCCCCAGGCCCACCAGGGAGCCAGAGCCGCTTTTGAGGAGCGGCCTGGTCCCGGACACTGCCACGCAGAAGGTGGGGAAGGGTGCTCGGGTGAGGAGAGACCCCTGAAAAGCCGCACCTGCAGACATTGTGGTCCTTCGGTCCCGAAGAGCGTTCTCCCAGGCCTGCCCCTGCACCTCCGGGCTTCCCAGTAGTGACTATACCATAGAAGGCAGCCCCGTATACACACACGCACATGCACACGCACGTTTCCCTGCTGGCCGGGGGGCTGACTGGGTTTCCGTGGCTGGGCGGGAGGAGAGGGCAGGAGAAGCCCCCTCGCCTGTGGCTGAGCCTGCCGGGGAAGCGGCTACCTCGGGGCAGCGGTCTTAACTCTGGCTCTGAGCTGGTGACCAGCGCTAGTCTTTCTAGCATCTTCACACCCATCCTAGCTGGCTGGCAGTTCCCTGAGGCTCCCAGGGGTTGAAAAGACCCAGGAAAAGCTTTGCAGGGGATTACGGTTCAAACTCGAGGGACGAGGTGGATTTGGCAACCATAAGACCTTCCCTGTAACCATGGGAGCAGCGTCCCGGGAACTCACACGGGACACACCTGGGCCCTGAGCACTGTGTCCCCAGGAGTTCAGCATTTTTTCCCACATCTCCAGAAAATTCCTCGCTTCATCCTTGCATCCACCTCTCAGGAGCATCCCAGAAGGAATCCAAGCAGGAGCTTCATCTGCACCGGGACACTCTCCAGGCCCTGGAACGTTCTGCCAAAGTAGAAGGCCCCGTTCCGATCTGGGGGGTGACCGCTTTGTGGCAACTGGGGGAGGGCTGACCGCCGGGCTGCTCTCCCTTCCCCGCGCCTGCTCTCCTCCTGACCTCACCCCACCGTGACCCAGAATGGCCCCAGGCCTCTCTGCAGGGGCAGCTGGACCAGATGAGGGGGAGGGGCCCCAGCTCCCTTTGATGTCACCCCTCACCCACCTTCATCCTCCTGCGCAGCCAGCAGCAAGGAGGACTGGGACATCCCCAGTGAAGCTGCCCCTCCTTTGTGTTCTAACAGATAACGACCACCCCTGGGATGGGGGCTTACAGCTGTCCCCTCCCCAGCCCGACCCAGAGACCGGCCCCTCTCCATTCCAGAAGCCTTCCCCCTTCTTGTAACAGGTGTGCAACTGGCTTGCACTCCCGCTGCCCTCACTGCCGTGTAGTTCTCCTGTCTACATATGATATCATGCCACGTAGTATCACTGACTCAGTAAAGAGCTGTTTCTAGGAGGGAGGTGTCTTCTGGTCCTTTCTGCTTGACCGGGACCGTGATGTCTTCAAGGGCTCCACCTCACCTGGCCTTTGAAGGGGAACCAGTGCACAAGGGGTCCCTTAGATATTCAGTCCCACTGTGGAGTCCAGGTCGGACCCCCTGGCCCTTCACTCTGGAAACACTGAGTTCTGCTGGGAGTTCCCAGTGGTCCTGCAGGGGCCAGGGACCAAGCGTGGCTGAGGGATTACCCACAGCGAGCAGGAACCCAGTGGAAGCAAGGTGAACCTACTAATCTTGCAGCAGGGCCCTAGAGCTCTTGGGCTAGAATGAGATTGGAAAATAAGACAGGACACCTGAGTGATACCCCCTGCTCCCCCGTCTTGTCCCTAACACAAGGAGATAAAACAGAAAAGGGGGAGGAGACCAGACCTGCCCCAAAGGACCTGGCCCTCCAGGGTCCACAGGAAACAAAGGACAGCTGGGTCCTCTGGGAATCAGCTGGGCCTGTTCCAGGAATCAGGGGTGCGTGAAGGGCTGTGCCCTCGGCTGGCTTTCAAGGCATATGTCTTAGTCCGTTCAGGCTGCTGTAACAGAACGCCACAGACTGGGTGACTTCTAAAACAGCAGAAACAACATAAATGATGAGGGTCATCCACCCTCGTGACCTAATCCCCTCCCAAAGGCCCCCCCCCCTTCCTGACCCCATCACACTGGGGGTTAGATTTCAACATAGAAATTTGGGGGGGTGGACATGAACATTCAGACTATGGTAGCATAGTAACCTCATTCGTCAGTAAAACATGGCCTAGTGAAAGCCCTGTGCCTTGTTTTGCTTTTTTACTTTTTTGGGGGGGGCAGGGGTTGTGGGGAGCGTTAGTCAGAATTCTCCAGAGAAAGGAAGGCTGAGAAGTGTCATGATCCGCCATCCCCAAGCTGGAGGCCCAGGAGGGTCAATGGTATGGTTCCAGCCCTAGGGCAGAAGACAGAGGTCCCAGCTCACACAGTCAGGCAGAGAGAGAATTCTCCCTTCCTCCACCTTTTCGTCCTATTCAGGCCCTCAACAGGCTGAAAGGCTGCCCATCTGCTTTAGTGACGGGCCATCTTCTCTACTCAGTGCACCCATTCAAATGCTCACCTAATTCGAATGCTCATCTCTTCCGGAAACACTTTCACCGATACACCTAGAAATAATGTTTAATCCGACACCTGAGTATCCCGTGGCCTGGTCAAGTCAGCACTTGAAATTAAGGCTTATAGGGTGTTTGGTAGAGGAAGCAAGCAGAGAGGTGGAAGGATGGGGATGGGGCCCCAGGGACCATGGCACGAGGCGCCCACCACTTCCTTACTCCCCGTGGTGGCTCAGGGTCCCTGCCCCACCTGCCCCCATCAACAACTGAGATGTGCTGGGCAGTGAGTTAGGTACTGCGCGGTTACAGGGCTGAAGCCGCCTTACCTGGGGGCTCGCCTCTCATAGAGGAGGGGGCAGTAGTGAAAGATACGTCTCCGCCTCGTGCGGGGCAGGCTGGGGGCTGGAGAAGAAGGGGTCGTGGCACAGAGGTAATGGGCCTTGGGGGAGGCAGTGAGGACCATCCAGTGGTGTCATTTCACAGTCTGGGTCCCCAGGAAACCCTCCAGGAAACTCTCACTACTCACTGTCCCGGGTGGGGTGGATGACAGGCCTGGCAGGGGTACCCCTGGGTGGGAGGGGCCGGCATGGGCGCAGGTACCCAGAGAGCTGGGCCAGGGAAACAAGAGCAGGAAAACCCAGGCGTCGGAGCAAGCCAACGTCCCAGAGTCCAAATCCAGAAAAGTTAGGTCTGGGATGAATTCCAAGGGATGACTTGGGGGCCAGAATGAGAGACAAGGCTGCAAGGATGGAAAACTGCGTTGATTTCAGAACATAAGCAAACACACAAAAGAAAAACTCATGGGTCCTGGACAACGGCCACCAACACATCCCTGACCGTGTGGTTTTGGGGGATCAGCTTGATTTGCAGGCACAGGATGGAGACGGGCCCTTGGGGTCCATCCAGGCAGTCACCACCACCTCTGGTTTCCCTGGTCACAGAAGCCCTCTCAGGCTCTAGCAAGGAAATCAGGAGGGGGCAGTCATGACAAGGAAGCAGCGGGTAGAATCAAGCCTATGGAAACTTGAAGTACAACTCCATCTCAGGGTGACTAGACGTGGACAGCTGCCAACGTCTCAAGCATCCGTCTTCACTCCAGAGCACCAGCCAGTCTCCTATCTCTCTTCTCTCAGGGGCCCCTGACCTCCCCTTCCTGCTACTCTTTGTACCCTTTCTGTTGACCAGCATCTTCTGTTTGCACGAGGCCCAGCGTAACAGGGCGACGGCTGACCACCAAAGGACCCAGTCCTACAATCTCTAGTTCCCAGCCCTAGGAGAGCAATCTGATCGCTCACCCTGTGGGTCAGGGGTCTACCCTGATCCAGTGGGCTGTGACCACAGAGGAAGAGGCGGAGGGAGAGGGATCACGTGGTAAAAAATTAGAGGCGCAAGAGCAAGAGCAACCATGAGCAAAGCTGGCCACAGAATCTGTGTTTGGCAACAGAGGAACAGGGGAATAACCTCAACAGTAATGGTAATAGCAAACACCCATGGGAGAGCTACTATGCAACAGAATACCGTTCTAAGCACTTTTCATATATTTATTCATTTAATCCTCACTACAATTTGTAATGCAGCTATAATGTCTATAAATCTATAATCTCTCTCTATATTGTAGCTACATATATTATTATTCTTCCCACTATGTAGATGGGGAAACTAAGGCTTGAAGAGATTAACTTCCCAAAGTCACATTGATAGTGAGTTGTTGTTGTTTTTGTGTCTTTTTTGTTTGTTTGTTTTTAAAGGACACAGGAGCCAGCCTAAAGGGGTTCCCACTGGTCAAATCTGGGACACTTTATTTATTTATTTATTTACTTATTTATACAATTCCACTTTTCTTTTTTCTATTTTTTTGGGCCATGCCGTGCAACATGCAGGATCTTCCCTGACCAGGGATTGAACCCAGGCCTCCTGCATTGGGAGCGCAGCATCTTAACCGCTGGACCGCCAGAGAAGTCCGATAATGAGTTTTTAGACGTTTCTCTATTGAACCTCAGTCTTGGGTGATTTAACTTCTCTGTGCTTCTGTTTCCTCCCCTGTAAAACAGGGATTACAACTCCTACCAAATGAGGTTGCTGAGGGGATTAAGTAAGATGATGCTCTTGGCCAGTTTCCCAGTGTCTTAGTCAGCCCAGGCTGCCATAACAAAATACCACAGATTGGATGGCTCAGACAACAGAAACTTATTTTCTCAGAGTTCTGGAGGCTGGAAGTCCAAGATCAAGGCACCAGCTCTTCCTGGCTTACAGATGGCTGCCTTCTGGCTCTGCCCTCACATGGTAGGGGGAGAGGAAGTGTGGGGGAAGCGGAGAGAGAGACAGAGAGAGGCAGAGGGAAGGCTCTCTTCCTCTTCTTGGAAGGCCACAGTCCTATCAGATCGGGGCCCCACCCTTATGACCTCATTTAACCTTCATTACCTCGTAAGACCCTGTCTTGAGATACAGTCACACTGAGGGTTAGGGCCTCAACATATGGATTTTCTGGGGACACAATTCAGTGTCCGGTGCCCAGCAAGGGTTACCATCCCGTAAACATCAGGCATCATCATGGTGGTGTTTATCCTACAGACCCAGGCTTCCTGGATGGCAACATTACTCACCACTTTCCTCTGCAGATGAGTGGCCATAACTCCAGGTCCTGCACACTCCCACCCACATTCCCTGCATGGTTAGAGCCTGGAACAAGCTGTGACTCACCCAGCTCAACCTCTTTACAGGTAAGAAACCAAAGGCTGAGATGGGCTGAAGGGCTCGTTGACCAACCGGGACCAGAACTCTGGTGTCTCGGTTCCTGGGCAAAGCAATTTCTCATGTCTCTGGTTTTGCCGTAATTTCAGTTTGCTATTGGTTAGGACCAATGGGCACCAACCGCTGCACGTTCCCCAGAAAGTACTCCCCCTGCAATCCCTCTCTCTGTCTCATGTCATCAAACACTCCTGGTACTAACACGGTCCTTCAGGGCATCTGGACCATTGTAGGTATTGCCGAAAATCCTAAGAGCTGACCACAGGGGTTAGCAGGGCTGGCAGTCAGAACTGTAAAGTTTGCAGCAAACTCTGTGAATCAGTATCTTGTTCTGTGCATAAACTGGGAAATGGATCCAACCTGCATCCAGTGGGGAGATCGGGTGGGCTTCACGATAGAGACCCTCGGTGGACATGGAATAGGGATGCGTCGTTCTTGCTCCCTGCTGGGTCCTCCATTTATCGCGGCAAAGTCAGCCCAGCACCACCCTCTCTAACCTTCACTTTCTTCATCAGGAAACAAAGAGAGTGGCCTGGTCTTGACTCCATGTGGGAGTCATCGGATGTGCCCGACCCCTCTGTCCCACAATTCTAACCAAGTGCTCTTCCTCCTGTCCTGCTTGGTGGCTTTCCTGGACTCGGCCAGGGCCAAGGCAGGAAAGTCTGAATCCAGACTGAGAGGTGACAGCAGCGGGATGCAGTCAGTGGCTTAGGATCATGGCCTTCGCTGTTGGGTTGTGTTCATCTCCACCAGATGTGCAAAATCTTGAGGAGCTCCTGAGCCGCCTTCTAAGCAGAGCAAGGGGCTTCCTGGAGGTCACAGGCCTGGGGCACGTCCTTGAGCACCTCTAACGATCCCCGACCTGCCCACCCTTCCTCCCCAGCAGCCTCAGTGCCCTGCCAGCTGGGGCAGGACAGTGAGCTGGGCAGAACCTCCACGCCTTCTTCCTGCTCCTTTTCCCCAGCCAGGGCTGAGCTGGCAACGCCTGCCATGCCAGCCCTGGACACACCTGTCAAAACAGAGCCACAGGAGAGGAGAGCGAAGAACTGACAAATACATTCTGACCACGCCGCGCTTTCCAATAGGGCAGGCCGGGCTGACAAGGAGCTGCCTGGACACGTAGGCTGGCGGCGCACTGAGCAACCTCCCTGGGGATTTGTTTTCCTTGCCTTCACCTGTCCAGTCCTTTTGTTTTCTTTTGAATGCTTCGAAGGGCAAGGCTCTGTGTCTGATGTAATGGGAGAGGTGTAAAGGCTGGTGCAGTGCCCTCAGCAGGGCAACCACCCAGGAACCCACAAAAATTCAGACTGCGGGCCTGCACCGCAGACCCACTGCTTCAGGACCACAGAGATGGGGTGGGACAGGAGGAGTGAGGGGGAGAATTCCCCAGGGAATTCCAACGCCCCATGTAAAACTTGAGAACCACAGGCATAAGAGACAGAGAAAGGAAAATATTTTTTTTTGATTTATGTATAGTATCTCATTTAATCCTCATGAACTAAATGTATTTACATTTTATAGGTCAGAAAACAAGGCTCAAAACAGTAAGTTGCTCAAGGCCACGTAGATATTATGTGGATTTGAACCCAGGATTAATGGAAGCCAGCTATGCCGAGCTAATGCTGACCAGGGTTCTTGGCCTTCCCCAGTCAATAGAAATTGATAAGAGGCCAGACAAGAAATTCAGGCAAGGGTTTATTGGG